CAATATCACCCGGTCCTTCTAACATCAAGGTGACTTTAGTTTATAGAATAACCTGTCGTTAAATAGATGTGATTTTTTGTCATAATGTGAATTTTGTGTCCCTTCATAAGAGGAACTCATGGTGTTAAATTAAGGTCTACCAAAGGGCTTATACCATGAAAATAGGGCTTATAACATGAAAATAGAGAGGGTCCAATGATTGGTTTACCATTTTGTTTTGGATAGTACAAAATGTGGCAGAGCCTTGAATAGATACCCAAGGGGTTGGTTGGAAAAAAAATAGAAACCTAACCACCATATTCTTTATTCCAAAGCCCATAAAATAAATTGCCTTGAACAAAAAGAAGGAACACCAAGCTATTTACAGATAAGGAAAATGCTACATAACCATGAAATTCAAAAATTAAAACTAAGATATATATCATTCTTTAAATGAGTGGGTTCTACTGAAAAAATTGATGGGACCCACTCATCCAAGATATGATATGTATTTAGGTCACAATTTTTTAGGTTTCATTTGAGTTTTGTAATATTGCTCTTACAGATAAACACAACTTGATATTTATTTTTTATTATAGTATTTTTAAAATTATATTTTTTTTAATTAAAATTTGAATCTTTCTCGTACTATTAAAATTTAGCCGTTAGTTTGTGTTATTCATAGTCATTAGCAGGTCTGTTATTTTCTATTACGCTTCCTATGATTTTTTTTTAATCATAATGTAAAACAAAAATCAAATGACAGAGTATCATAGTAAAAATATTTTTAAAAAAAATTCAAAATGAATCGCAATCTAAAAGAGTATACTAAGTAAGTCTATTTCCATCGCACTATGTATCAAAAATGTATGATTTTGTTTACCTATGTCCATACCCATACTGGGCACCAAATCGTTGCACGATCTATAGGTATCACTAGAAAAATTTACCCCCCATCAACGTACAATTTGCTATACTATATACAAATCTAGGAGTTCTATTATGAACATATTTTTTTAATATATTTCTCATGTAAATTAAAGATAGTTTTTAGTGATAGAGTATTTGTGAGTATTATTTTATGTGGTTACTTAGATATATATATATATATATTTTTTTTTTTATTTTTTTTTTAAAGTGTGCACGTAACAAGTTCTCAGTCACCTTCCTCAACGATAGTAAAGCATCCATCCTCACTGGCCCTTATCACATAATAAAGACTTGGCAGTCTTTTTCTTTATGCTCCATTATGTTCTTACTTTTACCTAATTGATAGCGAACTTGAACGGCTAAATCAATTCCATTTCCACCACTTATCATTTTTGTGATTAAACCTCTTTAACGGATTTGATTCGCACTTCGTGCCGTAATCTTTGATGAATATGATATTTTTCTTGTAGAATAGTGAAGTTAAAGAAACAATTAAAAAATACATCGATATCTTTCAAATAAAAGCTTGACTAATGGAAATGGCCAATATCTAGGCTTTTAAATTCAAAGAAGAAGCTTCTAAACTTGACTCGTGTTACTTCCAATTTTATTTTGACATTGTTTGGATATAAACATAAAATTTCAAGAATATTCAATGTATTGATACTTGAAATTTTAAATTTGCTGAGGAAGTGTCATATAATAGAAATTGAAGAAAGTCGGGAGATGATCAGTCATATCCATGTTTGAAAATGAGATAACTAACTTGAAATTACCATTAGGTAACCATCAATGAAGATGGCTATAAAAATGACATTCAATGGAGAAGATAAAACACGTTTCAAACCTCCAAAAAATCTACGATTTAAGCATTATTAATAGTTTTTAGGTTATTTTAGGAGCAGTTAATGCTTTAATTAAGACTATTTCATTCAGTATTTTGTAACCGAAGTCATTTCGATTTGATTAATAATTAGTTATTTATTTTAATTTCGCCTTTGCATGGTGAAAATCTTTTATCATTTTTCATCAAAGGAAATTTTGATATAAGACATTTAAATTCATGAGTAATGCTATTGAGAGTTAATTTGCTGACTTAATGCACTATAACCTTTAGATTAACTGTGGAGTCCATCAAATATTGGAACTTGATGTTGATCCAATAATTTTATTGAAGCCGCATCATTATGTCAATAAATTAAGTCAAATTTTTAAGTTCAAATAGTATTACTCTAAATTCATTCTAAACAATCGCTTGAAAATTGTCTCTTAATCTCAGCGCGGAACATAAGACATTCACACCGTATAAAACCGGGGGAGAATTATTTAACACTTGCCTCACAACGTATTAATAAACTAGGTTCCTGCCCTGCCTTTAGAAGTTGTCCAGCGAGGAAATAGAGGCGACCCGACGAAAACATAAGCTTAGGACAAAAATCCTATACTAGACTTCGTTAATTTTTAGTATAATAAATAGGCCTTGTATGCTAAATTGGGCCTTTTATCTTTTTGGGCTTGAAATATAACATGTTACATAATATTACAATTTGTTTTGTCGAATATAATTAGTCTCTGATGTTAGAGATTTGAATTTTAGAGTTCACATTAAAATTCGGTGGTTGACAACAATGCTAGTCTAGTTAGGTTCGTTCCTGAGAGGGATAGACGTGATGAAATGTCTCATAATCCCATTAGTGAGGATCTATCAGAGTGGTATTTGGACAATCTCTTTTACCTCCACATTTTATTTTCAAGAGTAAAAAAAAAGAAAAAGGAAAAAAAAGAAGGATACACACAAGAATCTGAGTNGAAAAAAAAGAAGGATGCGATACACACAAGAATCTGATTATAAAGCTTGTAGTACTACTACTTACGCTTTTGGATAAGACATTTAGATATATGTTGTGATAGCCGGACAACTAAAATGCTATACATTATGGAGTAAATAGCTCAAAGGTAAGAACATAACAACTTGTTTGGATGGATTTTTGCAAACTCTTTCAAACTTAAATTCTTCTTTATAAGAATGAGATTCAACATTGAATTCAGTTCATATCTATATTTGTTGTACAACACATACACAGGTAGAATCCACAGATATATCACAATTATTAATAACCGTTTGTCCTATTAATGACTATTTTGTCCCTTGATCGATTAAATTCATACTTATGTTAAGTAGTACAATTGTCATTTGTATCCTTAAACCGTTACTCCATCTTTCGAAACTCACCTTATAGGTTTGATGAAATTCATGATCATGGTAGTATCCGGGCCAGTTGTGGGCTAGATTTGATAACCTAGGATTGAAACTTTAGTCCAAGTATGAGGTTTGGGGGTTCTTTAAACTATTTTTTTCAAACTCTGGATACCAATCTCTCCCAAAACCCACAAAACAAACAGGCCTAAGGATACAATATTGAAAAATGGTGAAGTGTGAATAAATTACTTGTCACTTGTTAGCGGAAGATATGATTGTTGATCCCTTCACCAAATGAATGGATACAAATTATTTATGAAATATGCTAGTTTGATGGCCTTAGAGATGTCTTAGTTTAAATGATTAAAACTTTTTGTAATGATTGTGAAATCCATAAAAGTGTAAACAACTTGATGATCAAGTTAACGGTTGCAACATACGAGAAAATTTCTCATGATTGAAATTGTTGATTATGTAAGTAGTTTAGATCTTTATGGCCAAGTGATAGATGTCGGAAAGTGTTGCCTTATAAGGCCCACATAAAAAGACCTCCATAATATATGAATTTAGATATAACAGTTAAATTGTAATTATTCTAACATTTGCATGTGAAACAGTTGCTTATGAAGAGATATTTCACTTCAAAGATGTGAAATCACACAACTTTCATGTCCTTCCATAACCAATAAGTTTAGAACAATTCTAAAACTTTAAAAACCTATGGACACATTCTAAAAGTTTAATGCTAACAAATCCCACTGTTCTTTGTCTAATCCTGTCTTGCTCTTTGTTTGATTTCTTATTGGTATCCTACACACCTTTGGAAACAAAATTTGCGATGAAAAATTGGGGATGCATAGTAGAGTTTGGAAAATAATTTATACTAAAAGTATTGCTATAGTTACAATAAAATTTTACTAAAAAAAAATTATCAAATCAATGTGACTAGTTAGATCTATTAACTTTTTTTTATTGGACTTACTAATTTAACTATCTACATTTATATGGTAAGTAAATCATTTTCCTTGGCGTAAGATCACCTCCAATATATTTTATCTTCAATTCTTTTCGTGAACGATTATTAATCATTGAATTGAAGTAGGGATTGATTGTGTAAAAGTGAACTCCTCGCTTATTAATTAAATAAAAAATGTATTGAAGAGAATGACTATTGCTAATTTCTCAATTCGACCCAAAAATCTCAAATTCTTGACAAAGCCTCTATTTTTGTTTATTGAGGGCGAGCTTGGCTATATAAGACAGCTAGTTCCAATATTAAAAGTAGCATATGGTAAGAAAAATATGTGTGGTAGGACGATCAATCTTTAAAAACATTATCTCTAGGATTGATCAATCGACCTTACGTGGTGAAAATCATTGATGCGAGATTATCTTTAAACTCAATTTATGCTTTTTTATTTTGATTTGCTCTTTTACCGTAATTAAATGAAAATTAAAAAGAGACTCGTGAGATTGACGTAAAAAAGCAAAGGATGACTATATTTTAAACTCGGGGCAAATATGAAGCGCATACAACCCTTGAAATTAAAGACGATTCGGATTCTTCTAATCATGATCCATTCCCCTTGTACTATTCAGGGGAGGATTGGAACCTTCTTCCAGTAGGTGGGTCATGCTACCAACCACAATTTCTACCCCCAGAATCGCTTGTTTTATTGATTTCTGACTACCAATAATCACCTCACCTCCCAAAACAATGCTCAGATCAAGCGTCTTCTCACACACACTTTCCCGCCATCTTACTACCTCTCAAACAGCGACCACCCAAGTCAGTCACAGCCACTCAAACCAACGACCATTCACTGAACAACTCTTAACACTGATAAAACAATGCATTTCCGCCAAACCACTCCAACAAATACACACCCAAATGCTTGTACATTCCATTCCCAAATTCAATTTCCTGCTCGCAAAACTCATTGACCTGAAAGACTTCGACTATGCTTCCATTCTCTTTGCACAAATCCCGCAACCCAATGACTTTGCTTTCAATGTCATGATTAGAGGACTAACTACCACATGGCAAAGATTCGATATGGGTCTAGAATTTTACTACAGGATGAAGTTTTTAGGCTTCAAAGCCAATAACTTTACGTACCCATTTGTGTTTATTGCTTGTGCTAACCTTTTGGCTTTGGATCATGGTAGGTTGGCTCATTCAATGGTTTTCAAAAGTGGGTTGGATGTAGATGGGCATGTTAGGCATTCCTTGATTACAATGTATTCGAAATGTGACGAGTTAGGTTTTGCCCGGCAAGTGTTTGATGATATTTTGCAGAAAGATTTGGTCTCATGGAATTCGATGATCTCGGGCTATTCCCAGATGGGGTTTGCGAGCAATGCGGTGGAGTTGTTTGGGAAAATGAGGGATGAGGGGTTTGAGCCGGATGAAATGACGCTAGTGAGCCTTCTCAGTGCGTGTGGTGACTTAGGCAATGTGAGTTTGGGGAGGTGGGTTGAAGGTTTTGTTGGGGATCATAACATGGAGTTGAGTGCGTATATTGGGTCTGCTTTGATTGATATGTATGGCAAATGTGGGGATTTGTTGTCAGCGAGGAATGTCTTTGACAGAATGGCGACAAAAGATATGGTCATCTGGAATGCCATGATTACAGGGCAAGTACTTCTCTCCATTCTTATGTGGTATTACTTGTATGTTGCGAAGAACTTAATTCATTCTTGAATTGTGTTCATAGTCTTTCTGCGTAATGTTAGCTTTCCAAGCAATTCAAAAGTTCTGTCCATAACACTCTATTAACTTTTAGGAAAACGTACATGCCTTGTTCTGTTCAATGTTACCTAGATCGTCGGTCGTTTTAGTATGTGGTACGGGTAAAGATACATGATACGACACTTTCTTAGATACGCGGTACGATGATGGTAGGTTTAACTAGAACGGTATTTTAGATCGCAATTCGTTTCGGAAGTCTTATGGAGATTGTTTTCACTACTATACAACATTTTATATTACATAACATTTATAAACACTAAGTTAGTTACCATTTATATTATAGTTGTGCTTAATTTTCTATTATGTAAAATAATATATAATTATAAATCTATATACATGTAGTCAATTAATATATATTTTATATTTGTGCTACATGTTCCAAAGCGAATTGATTTAGGATTAGTATTACAATTTGGGTCGTTCATTTTTGTGGTAACCATGGTTCTGTTTATGTTTTATGATGTTGGATCTTCAAGTAAACATTTTGAGCTTTAACTTTACTTGACTACATATCTGTGGCATCAACTAATTGCTTTGACCTAAATTAGAAAAGAAAAGAAAACCTTTGCATGGACATTAAATCAAATTGGATTTGGTTACATCTTACTAACGAGATATGAAGAGTATTGCACCTTAAAAAAAAAACAACATTTGGAAAACTTGAGCACAAGTTTCTTTTTAGTTCTTTATATACACTTTGACCCGAAGAATGAGGCTTATTAACATAGAATCAACTGTGCCATATTAGCAATTCAATCATTTCTTTTTTCTTTTTGTATGATGATTCTTTTGAGGAATATTTTTGAAGGTCAAAACCAACTTATGCTTCCTTGAGTTGGTTTGGCTTTGCACCACATATTAGCTTCGATTTCATCTTTTGAACTGATTTAATTTTGTTTTTTTCCTCTTTTATTTATTAATTTTATTTTATTTTATTTTGTTGGGGGGGGGGGGGGTTTATGGTTTGCTTGGAGTTTTTTGAGGCTCACTGAGTCATGCTGGGATACTTCCCCAGTGGAATGCAGCCGTATGTGGACATTTGTGGTAGAAATATTTGCTAAACTTGAGTGATGATAACTAGACGTTCTGCGAAGATGTTGTCACTGACCAGATTAATTTTTACATAAGAGACAGACCAATGCTCGGTGTTGCTCCCAATGTCTGTTGTTGATCAAATCATTGATGGTTTTAAGCCCACTTTGTATCATTAATTTTTACCCATGACAGATATGTGCAAAATGGATTTTCTGGTGAAGCAATCTCATTATTCAATGCCATGAAAGATAGAGGGTTCAATCCGGATAAGATCACATTGATCGGAATTCTCTCCGCATGTGCCTCAATGGGCGCCCTAGATTTTGGGAGGTGGGTTGATGCATATGCATCAGAAATAGGCTTACAGCATGATATCTATGTTGCTACTGCCTTAATTGATATGTATGCAAAGTGTGGGAGTGTGGACAGTGCATTTAGAGTTTTTGATAATATGACACAAAAAAATGAGGTGTCATGGAATGCAATGATTTCAGCCCTTGCTTTTCATGGGCGGGTCCAAGAGGCGTTATCGCTTTTTAAGTGCATGTCAGAGGAGGGGGGGATTCTCAGGCCAAATGATGTCACTTTTGTTGGAGTTCTTTCTGCATGTGTGCATGCCGGATTAGTTGATGAAGGCCGCCGTTTGTTTGAACTAATGAGCTCGTCATATGGACTGGTTCCGAAAATTGAGCATTACTCTTGCATGGTTGATTTGTTGGCACGTGCAGGACAGGTATATGAAGCATGGGACTTTATTGAGAAGATGTCTGAAAAACCAGATGAAGTTATGTTAGGTTCATTGCTTGGTGCTTGTCAGAAACTCAGAAACATAGATGTTGGTGAACGGGTTATGCAGCTTCTTCTGGCAGTGGAGCCTTCAAATTCTGGTAATTATATAATTTCTTCAAAGATTTATGCAAATATGAAAAGGTGGGACGATTCAGCTAGGATGAGATTGTTAATGAGACAGAAAGGTGTCACGAAAACTCCAGGTTGTAGCTGGATTGAGGTGGATGCTGAGGTTCATGAATTTCATGCTGGTGACTCTTTACATCATGATTCACTAGCGATTTGCCAATTGCTTAACATGCTATATGAGGAAATGAAGATGGAAGGTTATATTCCGAATGTTTATCTTTTATAGTGAGGCAAAGATTGAGAAACTTGTCAAACTTACCAACTACCAAGCTTCCCATTGCATTTTTCTCAGGTTTGTGATTTCTGGCTATCACAATCATCTAGTTTAATTTTAGCAGTGTTTTAAATGAGCAAAGCTTTGGAGCATCCAAACTTTTCTGGACAATTTTCTGCACCTCAACATTTCTGTCATTTTTTTATTTACTTCTTTTGCAAGAGAATAAAAATGCTCCCACCAAAAAAAAAAAATGCAGCAGAGAGGAGTTAATTTCCTGCAGAAAATATGCAGGGGGTATTTATGAGGTTTAAATACCCCCCGCCCCCTCCAGGGTTGGGGGGACTCAAGAATCTTAAGAGTAGCATTTCATTGAATCTTTTGATGGAATATGATTCATAATTGAGGTATTTTCATGGTGCATGAAGTAAGTTTATTTTTAACACTTTGTAAATAGATGAACTGACTTAATCTTGGTACCTACTCACCACAGAAAGACTTAATTTGGGAAGGTAAGAAACCTGCTTGCTGTTAATGATTACATTTGACTTAAGAAGAACTTCTACTCTCATATAAAACATGCCTGCCACCTCAATCCTCATATTAGCTTATTATGGTATGGCTTGTGAGCACATATTATCATATCTGTTACAACCAAGTACTGTACTGGAGCCTTTATGCACATTTCTACAAGTAAGGTGTTTTATTGTTGTTACTGGCATGTGTACGTCTATTACTACTACTATTTGCCCACAATATCTGAGCTGTAACTTTGTGCAATGTTTTCTAGATTGATTCTATTGGTTCGTCAGATATTTTCTTTGATAGACGAAATGCCTGGAAGGTGAAATGGAAATATTAAATAACGGTGAAATTCTTTGGATCTTAAGACATCCAACTTAATATGTCATATTAGCAGTGAGGTTGCACTAGCACTTTTGGCTTCCTTTGTTTTAATTCTCACAGCTTTGTTTTTGTTGTCGGAGATCCTTTCCATTTTACTAAAGGAATTCAGCATTTGTCAGTTTTGTGTTCTCACTTCACACCCTTGGTTTTTCCTGCATTGGAATTCCTAAATTTTCAGCTTGGATAACTACAGAAGAAGGATGTTTAATGGAAGAAATATATATGGCAATGATGCTGTTTTGACTTTATTTGCTCAGTGAGGTGAATGATCTGGTGAGTCGCTTTGCCTTTTCTTCTGTCTGTGATTTCATTTGATTGAATCTAAATCTTTTATCATCATTATATGCTGGAGTTCAGCTTGATGGATTGCTAAACTCCTTTGATTTAAGGAGAGTTATTTTTTTTTTTTAAGTGAGCTGCATATGTTCTAGACTTGGGGTGCAAAAGGGTCTTGTTCAGTCGGGTGGAAGCTCATTGTGTCAAAATCAGGTCAACCCATATATGGTACAATTAACTAATCATGTCAAAATCTCTAAACCCTAACACGACACGATTTGTGTAACCAGTCAGATATAGGCTGTGTCATAGTTGTTGGGTTTCATGCATTCAATTGAAAACAATTCATATGGTACAATTAACTAATGCATTCCTACTGATGTCAAAATAAAATTAAAAACAATTCATATACAGTTAAAAAATAGGGGTTTCAATTTAAAGCACGAGTTCCACTGGTTATATTCCATTCATGGGTCATTTCCTGTGCTTGTCGTTAAGCTGGCAAGCTAGTTGAAATTTAAAACCCAAATATGATATTTTTAATAAGCATGTCAACATGAATATGACATGAACTAATTGTGTCAAACTCTATAACTTGAACCTTGCTAACTTCACGTCGGGTTGGACTTGTGTTAGTGTGTCTTGTCGAAAATTGACATATCTATTTTAGTTAATGTTAATTCATTTCTAGCAAAAAGAAAATAGTTACATTTAGATCATAAGTTAGCATCAGGAAAAATGTAAATAAAACCTAGAAGATTTGCATCCATTAATTAATGACTACACTATTAAAATAAATAGAATGCTACCTAAGAAACCATTTATTAACCTGTTGACTTCAATTTCTCTTTCCTTCTTTTCCTATTTTTAGTCTTTCCAGTTGTTCTAAATTGATGTGGTTAGAAGAAAGGAATACGGCAAGAAGGACAGCAAAGAACTACAGCTGAAAGGCCTAGAAGACAATTCCTAAGGAGGACCCAGAACGAAAGAAAGTGAACTGGAACCCATTTCACAGGGATATCCCTTTGGAGGATGCTGTGCAATCCAGTTAACTACACATGTCACTGAGAGGTGAAGAGGACCATTCCCATTCCCTAACAAGCGCACACAAAAGAAAGGAAGGTGGAATATAACACATATCATAGGATGGTCCTCTTTGGGAGCATGTGCTGCTAAAAGCTTACTTATTGCTAAATGATGAACCTAACAAACTTCACCTTAATCTATTGTCGAGGAGAAAAGGTTCACACATAATGGTGGCTATATCTATCTGAATTTCTGTTTAAGTTTGTTGAAATAAGATACCACCTGGAGGAGCCATTCATAATCAAAACTTGATTCACTTTCAGAACAATTGCATATGGAAGGCTTTTCTGAATCTGGGGCTTCTGCAACACTAGCCACAGGATATGCTGACACACAAAGCTGTGTTATCAGTGACATTACATGTACTAGTCCCCATGAAGACATTGGCTTCACTGCCTTGGAGCATAATAAATGTTGACCAGAGTACCATTAGGAGTTTTTAGCATTGGACTTGCCTTTCCGGTGGTATTAGGTCTAGGGTACATCTCATCTTTCTCTAATGTTTATTTCAATTTCATAACAGTATTGAGATGTGCATGTTACTCTGATTCTGGATTAGTTTGGTTTCCAGTCACTTTCTTGTGTTTTCCTGATAAAATTAATCTGAATGTCTTGGTAAGGTCTTAGCACTAGCATTCCATTGCTTTCAGGTAATGATTCACATGATATGCACATTGAAGTTGGAGATGGGGCAATCTATGTTTTTGTTACTAAATACACTTGGTCATTTTTTTGTAGACTTGAGGGTACAGAGTTACACTATGGCTGCTGATGTCACGTCTTCACAGTCAAGATGCTTGCATGTCATGTTCTGATGCTGCTTTAAGAAATGCTTTCAGGACTCATGCTGCAAATACAACCAAGCAAAATTGCTGCAGACACTAGAGTCACTTCGGTTGGTCATTCACTTGCTTCTCTGGAGTCATTGATGCCACTTTTCCCTCTTGAGGGACCTCAGCCACGGGGATGGTTATCGGCAATGCTCTCAGTGGTTTTCCTCATGTAACTGATAAAACAATGCAGAGTGACAGTGGTTGGGTCATGAAAGAATTGTCACTGAGGTGATTGTCAGTGAGAGGGTTGGCAGCTCAATGAGAATCAGAAAGTTTCTACCCGTGGGGAAACTAGTTGACACTCAGAAGTTGGTGATCAAATTGTTGAGGCAGGTGAGCCATTCTGACTTCCTTTGATGGACAAGCAAAGGAAAATGAAAAGCTGGACCAAGCTAGACGGTTTGGAAATCCCTTTGGCGTTTTATCATTCCTTATTGGTTCCATTTTTTATCTCTTGTCTTCTGGTCAGTACACATTTGGTTAGTCGAACTTGGTAGCAAATGTAGTTCAAGTGGCATTACTCGTATGAATTGCCAAACAGCATTCAAGAATATCCTGCCCAAATAGCAATGCCAAAATGCATAAAGCAGTTAGAACATGTCTCAGGTTAGTTCACATTCTTAGGTAAAAGTTCAGAAAAGAATTAAGGAGAAATACTGTTGCTACCTTTTGCTGATTGATATACATACAAAACAACCTCCGAGTTTTTGGAAATATTGACACCCTTTTGGTTTCTGTTTGTACCTTATAGGATCTTATTTCACTTGTCATCAAGGTTTAGTATTTGATCTAACCCTTTTTGCATTATACATTGTTTTGGCAATTGTTATTACTACAAGTTAACCATAATTAGATTGCATATACTTTTAACAGTGACAAATATGTGTATGTGTAGGTGGATGATGACCTAGTGCACAAGGTTCTCAATACTACGGATTTTGGAGGAGAGTTAAATGTATATAGTCTTACAATCATAAGTGGAAAAGTTGTTTTTGCTATTAGACGTGTATAGAAATACAGTTCTTATGTTATGATATGATATAATTAAACTATTTAAAGAGTATTAATGGGTGAAATTTTTTTTAGATCATAAATATGAAATATTTGAACTTTAAGGGGCATAATTTATAATTAGTCCAAAATTTTTTAACGGCAAAATGGATGGAGTTAACCTCAGGTGCACATTGATACAAATTTATGTTTGTCAGGGTATAAATTGATATTTTTAAAATTTAAAAGTATAAAATAAAATTTGAGTGATCTTTTGGGATACAAGTTAAGAATAGTCCTATTATTTATAACAACGCTTGTCCTTTGGTGTCTAAATTCCATGCAGAAGATCAAGCACTGTAACAAACTAACAGAGGCGGGGCGAGGAATATCTACAATGGGGCAAAATATAAGTGATAAAAAAAAATATTTAGTTGAAATTAATACACAAAAATTTAGTTAAGGAATGAAAAAAAAGTAAGAATCAATACAAAATTATTGTGAAATAATAAATTCAATTTTTATTTAGCTGAAATAAAATCATAACAAAAAGACACAAAATAATTTTTTTAGTACTTTTTAACCTAATTATATATTTCAATAAAATATAAAAAAATTTCAAATCTCTAAAAGTTTGTATATGAGTTAAATGTAAATTAATTTTTTATCAATGCGCACAATCACAAATACGTAGTAAAATTATTTTTTATTTAGTTGTAAAATTTAGTTGAGATCATTATCGATCTTATAAAGAAATTCTCTATTCGAAACAATTTGTAATATTTTTGGGTTACAACTTTTTGCCTTTTGTACACAATCATATTTTATTAGGTTATAGACAACTATTATTAAAAAAATGGTAAATAAAAATAAAAATTTGTTCTTAAAAAATAATGAACATTATGTTAGATAAAGATAATTATTATATTTTTGTCAATATACAAAGATCAGAATAGTTACATGTGATTGACTTAATCCAAAACTATCATATTTATTTTAAAGGGTTAGTGAATCACTAATTTATTGAAAAACAAAAAACTAGAACCATTATTAAAATTTTGAAAAATTTAGGGGTCAAATATAATGTACAAAATAATGTTATGAGTCCTTCTCTAATGTAGTTCAAATGCAAAGAATTTTTTTACTTTTTTAACACTTTTCAGACGCTACTTAGTTTGTTTGCTCTAGAAACTTTGACAAATGCTCCAGACCATGAAATTAAAGCTACAATGGATATTGTGATTCTTTATATAGCTGAACAATATGTTCACTAAAACCCAAAAACATAGAACATCAATTCATGACAAAAAAATTTAATTGGAAAAGATGTAGAGATTCGCAATAGCACCTAGGTGGGGGTCATCCTCCTGATAAGCTTTGCATATTAATCATCTATTTCTAATTTTTTTTTTTAAACTATTGGCAAGTGTTCTTTGAGACAACCCCACAATTCCATAACAATTAGCAAATGAGGAATTGCAAAATGCGAACAATAATAAAGAAAGAACTCTTTATTCAAGTTATACAATCAAGCCCAAATAAAAGCCACCCCAAAATGGATATCTTGCTTCTTGTACAATAACATTAATCTGCACAGAAAATAAAGGAATCAGAGGCTCTCCTCTTTGTCATCTTCCATCTCTATGTTCAAAAAACATCAAAATATAGAAAATAAGAGGAATCACTCAAGTAAATATGTACAGAAAATGACTATGAAAATTCATACTATTTTGTCAAGTATTTTTTTTCATCTCCTAATTGTAGAGATCTAAAACAAACAGTAAACAACGTGAGTGATTCACGTCAATTGAAACTATTCATAAGTCATTCACATTCGACCATCAAAATTCAAACCTCCACTCCACTTTGGTAGGAACTTGGGCGTATGACAGAGAAATCTAGACCTACAAAAAATCAATTCAACCAATGACACCCACGAAAATCAATATCTTTTAGTAGAAAACCAAAATAAAAAAAAAACCCATGAAAAATAATAGAGAACCAGACAACCTAAGAAACCAAAGTATCTGAAGGGGACAGTTGTCACTCGAGCTTTTGTCACTAGACGTTATGGTATCTATCCTTGGCTTCGAAAGTCCTAACACAAAGGGAGGAAAAAAAAAAAATGATGTATATAGAGGAAAACAATAATGCTGAGCGTTACCTGAAAGTGGCGACTGCTGGATGACTGACATAAGTTGTAGAGTTGACTGTGAGAGACATGGAGAGACATGTGAGAGAGGTAGAGGTTAGTATGAGACAAGGAGATAATTATAGTATGGGACAAGTAGATAGAGTTAGACTAGAGGTGTGAGTTTTTGTATCAGTTAGTATGAGATAAAGAGAGGAAGAGTTAGATAATAGATAAGAGTTTTAGAAAAATTTCGCATAAGGACTATTGAATTAATAATAATCAAGTGATTTGAACTACGAAAAACAAAAAAAAAAAAATTAAACTACCGGCTGTTTAACACACAATATATACATTATCAATAAAAAATTATATATATCCAATGAATAGGAGTCACCTATCATCTTATCAGAAAGAGCCAACTTGTGTACCCACGACTTGCTTTTCAATTGGGTGTACTTTTGTTGACACATGACGTGTTAAATCATATAAAATTTTCTGGTAATTGCCTATTAACTTATAATTTATTTATTTTTATTTTTTCTCTCTCATTCTCTTTCTATCTCACTCCTACCTAACCTCCACACACATACTGGTATATTAGAATCATGGGAAAATTTCAACCTCGCCTCCTCTAATGTATTATATTTTCAAAGACACTCTTTTTATTTTTTTGAATCTTCACTGATATTTTCTGTCAGATTAAAAATATTAACTACAATGTAATTTTACTAAATTGATCATAATATATTTAAAGACAAACTTCATCCACACCCCCTATAGATAAACATATCTTCATTGAGACCTCTGTTTTCTAAATTTTTATACATATTAAAATTCGATATGAGCTCTGGAAGGCGTTCTATTTGACACTGAATGAAGGCTGGAGGTTTGTTGTTTTTGAAAGTGACTCAAAACCTCGCATTGATTCTTTGGTGTTGGGGGCTGCAAAGTCATTGAGAGAGGTTGAACCACTTTCAGCGTGATGTATGAATGATGTCTTCCCAGCTCACTGCTGTTCAGTTTCTTTTTGTCAACAGATCTGCTAATCACTTAACTCACATAGTTGCTCATCTAATCAATTGTGGGAGTCTTCCTATTGACTGGTTTTTGAATCCTTCATTTCATGTGCTGCAACAGATCCAGAAGGATGTTCGTGTGGGTATAGGATAGTTCCTGTTGCTTATTTTTTGTTGTAAGTATACTTTTTTTTAAGTCTGTTTTATGAATGACCAAAAAAAAAAAAAAATTCAATACGAGCTAATTAAAATTTCTTTTTTACCTATTAAAATTTGAGTTGATTAAAAATTATATTTTTAACGTATTAAAATTTGAGCTAATTAAAATTTAATTTGAGTTAATTAAAAATTATTTTTAATTGACTCAAATTAAATTTTAATCAACTTGTATTGAATTTTAATCAGCCTAAATTTTAACACATAAAAAAATATAATTTTTAATTAACTCGAATTTTAATAAGTAAAAAAATATAAATTTTAATAGACTCAAAAAAGAATTTTAATCTGTTCTAACAACTCGGGTAGAGCTCAAATGGGCTTGAATTTGAATATATAGAAAAATAAATTTTAATCAACTTAAATTTTAATACGTAAAAAAAATAAAATTTATTAGACTAGAATTTTAATAAAATTTTATGTAGAAAAATTGTTTGAAATTTATGTAAGGAATTTTTTTAGAAATAGTGGTTTAAAGGCAGAAGGTGTCAATGAAGTTTAAATATAAATTAGAAGGGATGTTAATAATATTTTTGATAATAAAATGGGTATCCTTAGAAATATATAAACTAAAAGGGGTATAACTAAAATTTTTCCTAGAACCATTTATGTGGGTTTTCCATTTGGACTCCCATTCTGTATCGTAACTGATTCTGTCCACATTTAAAATTTTAAATCTAATCCACCCCTCAAAAGAAGAGAAAATTATTCTTCCAAATAAAATATCATCTCTCCCATTGCAGATTGTGTTCTAAATTCATTGTTCCTTTTGAAGAGTATCGTTTCGCTACACTTGCTTCATTCCCTTCTTATATCTCACCATCTGCATATCTTTCTAATCCCTCAACCCTCCTCTTCTTGCCACCCACAAAGTAAAGCTTGAACAAAGTTAATCCTCACTGGCTTCCATTCATTACAAGGTTCTCTCTCCCTCTTTCTCTCTCTTGTGTACTCAACTCAACAAGACCTCTTCTCAATTACTCTCTCTGTTATTAAATATTTATCGTTTAAAATTTTTATATAGAAATTAAGGAAGTTATTAAATAATTATAATATGAGTAAAAAATAATTATACAAGACTAAAATATCTTTATTCAATATGTGTGGAAAAAAAAATGAATATGAAAGACACTTAACTTCCACTTAATCTAATAAATTAAAAAGTTAAGGGTAAATTTAGAATAAAAAATATTAATTATACTTTAATTTCATTAAACGATAAATATTATAAAATAAAAAAATGATGTTAAATGACATATATTTAAGACCGGTGGAAGAATTTTGAGTTAACTACACAGATCTTAATAGTTATTACTCCGAGAAAGTATTTATGGGGATTCATCCTTATGTTGTGCTTTACAAGTCTCTTTGTAGATCTTTTTCCATTGTGCTCTATCAAAGAATTTATTTCCGTCTCTATACCAACTGTTTTGAGTGGATTACACTGATCCTAACAGTTATTACCCCAAAAAGCTTTTATAGGGATTCATCCTTATGATGTGCTGTCCAAATTTCTTGAAGACCCTTCGTAGATCTTTTTCCATTGTGCTCTATCAAAGAATATAATTTTCATCAAATCGTGAGCTATCGAATTGTTTCTACTATTTCATGATGCTTGTCGAAATCCCAGCTTCTTCCAACTCTTGCTGGGTTTTAATTTCTTCATGTTTGAGGCATTTAGTAAACTCACACAGATCAAATTAATGAGCAGAATCTACTTCCCAATCCAAAAAATTAGCTTTATTTGTAGCAGCATGATCTTGATTTTACCATTTTCTATCTGTTGTTATGTGCAGAACATATAGATGCTAAAATGGCAGCTTATACTGAAGAAGGTGCAGCCAAAAAGTTGCAGAAAAGCAACTTTGATCTGTTGGGTCTTTGCTGTACATCAGAGGTTCCTTTGATTGAAAAGATTTTAAGATCTCTTGATGGTGTCAAAGAGGTTACCACCATAGTCCCCTCCAGAACAGTCATTGTTGTTCATGATACTCTCCTCCTTTCTCAGGTTCAAATTGGTAATGGCTTTAACTTCCTCTCTCATACCATTATTTTTTTTTTTCTCTTTCATTTTGTATGTTTTGTAAGAAAGATCATGTTTTCAACCGAAACAATTTCTGCGAAATGTTACGGGTTCCAATTTAAAAATTAGTTAATGTTGTTTATTATTAAATCCAAATAGTAATTTAAATCTCGCTCATTACGTCAACATCACATTATTTATATTTTGTTGGTGTAGCAGTTCCCATTATTTTTTTTTCTATTTTGTATGAAACATGTTTTCAATTAAAAAAAAATGCTCTTGATATGTTGCTGGTGTTCTAATGTGAAAATCAAATAAGTTACTTATTATATTTGTACATACTTTTCTCTAATCCGATAATAGATTAAAATTTTGTACACTTAGTACGATCTCTTTTGATTTTTAGTAATTTATGTGTGTTGCCATTGCATTGAAGTTGATGATGAATGATGATACTAATACGATAATTAATCCTAGTTTGGACAAATGTAAAGTTAGCATTCATGACAAAACTAAAGTTGGTTCTGCATGATAAGTTAGACTGATTACGTGGTCCACTTGTTTGTTGTTAGTGCTTAAGCGGTGGACATAACAATATTCTGGCATAAAAGTGAGACTAGTAGTCATCATCTTAATGACACATTTCTTAATTTTTTTATTGTATTATTTATATATTGTGATTTTTAACTTATTTCGTAATCTATAATGTTCTATATCAAAACGCAGATTCCATTTCACATTTGTTTGTCAAAGACCAGAAGCTACGCGAAAATTCTCATTGGATCTCGGTTGTTCTTAACAGCGATGGCTATTCATTTAAGTCTTCGAGTACTTCTTCCATTTCCAGTGATTGGATTCGTCGATTCCGGGGCTACCGGTCACATGTCAGGTGATATCTTTCTTTTCCTATGATGTAAAACGTGAGCGAAATAAACGATTTCATGTAAACAATATTAGGTCGGCAAAAAAGTTGGAAAACTGCTATGCATATAGAAAAAGATGATAATTGGGCAAAAAACTTTTGATTTTTCATAGCCAAGTTTCTTATGACTTGAGTTCAGAATTAGCAACTCTACAGTTTGTGATCATCAATTATTTTGGATAAACAAAAAGTAGCAAGTCACATGTAATACTTTTTCATCAATATAAACCATAAATTGTTGTAACAAATAACGCTAATATTTCTAGAAATTAACTTATGATATCATCTATTGCCATGACTTAGTACTGTATGAGTTGACAAGTTCTCAATAAAAAAAAATTCAATAGTTGAAACTACAATAATATTTCGGACTATGTCAGTTAACATGGGGGTATTAGGTTGGAAACCATAGCTTGATCAAGTATATCTTACGAACGTGCCAATAGTGATTTTATGATCATTACTTTCTCAATTCTAATTCGGCTGATAAAATTGTCTTTTATTTTTGTTAGTTTTCACTTTTAATTTTCTTTCCACTGCGCATTTTTCGGGATTGCAAGAGGGTCATAAGTATATACTAAATAAAACATTGTTATGATGATGATGAATGGCAGTTAAGGCATTGAACCAAGCGAGATTGGAAGCAAATGTTAGAGTGTATGGAAGTGGAAATTACCAGAAGAAATGGCCAAGTCCATTTGTAGTCGCTTGTGGTGTTTTGCTTTTGGTATCGTTTCTAAGATACGTTTATCACCCGGTTCAATGGGTGGCTCTTGGAGCTGTTGCTGTTGGTATATTTGTTTTGAAAGCCATAGCTGCCATACGCAACTTCACACTCGATAACAACATTCTTATGCTAATTACAGGTACATACCTTACAGATCTAGCTATAGTTGATTAATTTACGACATTCCATTAATTACGGAATACATAAGATATAGGTATTACGTACTACTCATTTTTGGATAGAGAATTACCAGTTTAGCATCTTTTTTATTCTTGTCTACTAGAAAATGTTAGCTTAGGTATAGTCATTAGAAACAAAAACGAAAATGTTATTTGGAACAAAAACAAAATAAATGTACCCTAAAAGTTATTAAGTTCTACCTAAATAGTTGTATGCATAACTAAAAAAGTGATAAGTGGTATGATATTGAACAAAAATTTTAGGTATCGTAATCAAACCCTAATTGAGGTGTGTTATGTAAGTCGGTGATTCATTGTGTCAACTGAATGGTGTGTCGACACTCGGCACAGAGCTACTTTGGATTCCTATTGATTCAAGGCCCCATACACTATTCATGCTTTCCTCGTGTGCTGCCAATATACCCCACGTAACATAACATGTAGTTGATGAAAACTTAACACCTTTTTCCTTAAATAATGTAGTAGAAAAAGACTTTCACAACCAGTTCATTTTTTTTGTAGCTTTACCTCTCTCTCTCTCTCTCTCACACACACACACACACACGGACTTACATTCGGGTTAGGGAGTCCTTGACCCACCCTCAATTTTACAAAAAAAAAAGTTATATATATGTATGCTCACCCTATCACTCTCTTATCGATCCTGGGACAGAATCCAGAATTTTATAATGAGGGAGGCCGAATAGGAATTAGGTGTATATTTTAAGGATACAAATTATAATTTATCCTTAATTAGAGAAAAACTAAAATATAACTAGATGTGACCGATGACTATGTTGGGGGTTTTTTCCATCGATTTGTACAATTATGGTTTTTTTTTTTGGTTCGTATTCTTAAATTGAATGTGAAATCACTCACAATTGGCTTACGAGTAGTTTTCATTTTTTTGCCATTGACCTTTATTGACATAAAAATAAATGCACCATGTTATCTTATCGATATTTGGACAAATTAAAATAAAACTTGCCAACCAAGATTGAATTCTAAATCCTGGGATGGAACCACGATTTTGTGTTGGGGGGACCAAATCCTACCCCTATGTACAAAAATTCATTCCAACGTCAAGAACTATGTGTACATCTTATAAAAGTATATTCAACATAAGAAAAAATATTGACAAAAAATAAACATAAGCAATAGACAATTAATAACACATAGACTCTATAAATAAGAGATATAACAGTCTTTTAGTGATTGAAAAAAATCTCCTAATTCTAATCCAAAACAAATTGCTTAATTGATTAGAGAGGAAAGGAAAGAGTTCGATGCATTTTGACTCACACTCTAACTTAAGCTTGATTTTTTTTTTCAAATGTTCTAGGCCTTTTGCCTTGTTCTTCTGTTTGCCTAAGGTTAGACCTATTACTTAAATTGTTTTATGTTTCCTAAGTTAGGGCTCTTGTTGTTTTTACTTTACTTAGAGTGTTTTTTGTCTATGGACACTTGGTATTTGTTTGGGATAAGGGAGCCAGCACACCAAGAGGCAGTGTTCAAATAGGATACCTGTAGGATTAAGTCTAGGGGGGACCATGGCCCCCATTGCCCTTGAATGGTTCCTTCCATGTCTGGATCTGCCCCTGCACACAAATATCCTTAATTTTCTTGTGACCTACTTATTATAATTTGCATTAGCATTATAATTTTTTATCCAAAAAGATTGATCTGGATTCTTTCCAATATTATTTTCTTAACTTTTTTCAATTGTAGATCAACTCACAGTAGATGAGTAGTTGTCCATTTCTTGAGTTCAAATTTTGACAATTTCTTAGGGTTAGATTATGAGAAATTTATCTTTCATGAATACTTTAGTCCCAACATGAATGACCTTTCTTTGATCGGATCGGGAAGGGGATTAGTCAAAGTGTGCTTAAGTTGACCTGACCACTCCTGATCGTTGAACTAAAAAAAAAAAATGGATCCTACTTGAAATTATGGTAAACAATATGGGGAATTAAAACCCAAAAATAGGAGAGCATTAAAGAAGTATAAAAGAAAAGCGAAGACAATAGATAAGGAAAAAGACAAAAAATTCCAACTTTTTAGATGTTGTCCAAGGCTACATATATAATTGGTCAAATCAATGCTAGTTAGTTTAATAAGAGTAATCTTACTAGAAACCCAAGTTTCCAATATAGTCGTTTTTTGACACTGGATTAAAATTAGTTTCAATAAGAATGTGATTTATTGTCAACCCAATTAAAAATAGACATTAAATTAGAGAACTGGATCCAAATAACAAAGTTCGTTTAATAAACTTCTCAAAAGCCCATTAACCTGACGAGGTGCACCTTATCATGGTCACACCAAATGGAAATGTTATGAATCTGAAATAACACAAATACACGAAAAAAAAGAAATACAAAACCAACTAACATGATTAATAAATGAGTGATATTAGGGCTAATTACAAATAACAAATTTTAATTTTATTGTATGAAGGAGTTTTGTTTTACTTCATTTTGGTATTGTCCTGTTAGAATTGTTGTTGACCCACCTACGTCAAGAAAGAGAGAGAAAAGAAAAGGAAAAATGACACTTTACACCCCGGAAGATTTTTACATTCTCAATTTATACTATGAAAGAATAAAATTTTTATATCACATCCACAATCAAACAAAAAAAGTAGAAATGTTCTCTATTTTAAGACAATTGAGCACCAAATTTCTATTGAAACACTTAAAATTAATAAGTATACAAACAATAGTGTACATAAATAGAATAATATGACAAATATAATAGTAATTTTTATCAAAACAATGTAACTAACATTTATTTTTGGACTACATTGCTACCTTTTTTATTTGGTTAAGCGTGTAATTTGATAATTTTAATCCATTTAGGATATGAATTAAGAATTTGAGAATATTTTAGAGTGCAAAATATCAATCACCCAAACGAAAATACAAAAAATCGAAACGGAATTTTGTTATGGATCATGTTACCATTGCAAAGCTCAATTTTGAATAGTTCTTGTCAATTTTGCACATTTTGCAGTTGTGGGATCAATTGTTCTACATGATTATTGGGAAGCCGCTACCATTGTCTTTCTCTTTACAATAGCAGAATGACTCGAGTCAAGGGCTACTCACAAGGTTTGTTAACCCCATGCTCCCTCTCTCTCACTCTCTCTCTCTCTCTAAAATATTGGGTGTAACGGTGACACCACGTTATCACTGCTACGTGGTGTTACCAACTAATAAGAGTATAACAAGTGTATAAGTGGATCCCACATATTATAGTAATCACCATTTTATGTCATTTGGTAACACTCAATTGCTGAAAATAATTACTAAGTGGGGTTCATAGTACCCATATGTAGGTTCATTATTAGGAAAAATGTTAAATAGACTTAAAAAACTGATTTAAAGACTTGATTTGATGAATTACTACCGTTGAATAGATAGTGGGTCACAACTCAATAAATACTGGGACCCACAGTAAAATCAATGACAAATATAACAGTCACATCATGAAATCNTTGATGAATTACTACCATTGAATAGATAGTGGGTCACAACTCAATAAATACTGGGACCCACAGTAAAATCAATGACAAATATAACAGTCACATCATGAAATCAAGTTTTTAAGTTTGTATAGCATTACCCTATTATTAGATGGTGACACCAAGTGACAGTAATGACGTGGTGTCACCTTTATACTCAATATTTACTCCTCTCTCTTTCTCTCTCACACACACACGCACATACACACACAAACCCATGTCTATGTTATTTGACCTGTGAAAAAGTTGCATTGCCATTTGATAGTTACTATATTCTGTAAAAGAAACCTTAAACCATGTAGAGTTAACAATTAGGATTGCTGTGAATTTAAATGTTTGAGAGTTGATGAAACCTTTTGCCATTAAACTGGCAACAAGTTGATCTGGAAATTATTTACTGAGTCTTTTTTAGTGTACTTGTCATTAGCAAATCATTCCATTTTTTAATATAAAGTTGGACAAATTAAAATATGGTACCATATAACAATAGCAGAATGTGACAGTTGATTTTACAAATTGTCCTGATCTTTGTATAGAAAATGTGAAATACCAGAAAAATCAAATGATATTCTTAAATAAGATATACATGAAAGGTGTAGAAAAGACACTGCATAATACTGTTACTATGTCATTAAATGATCTTTTTATTTTCAACATTTACCTGATCCAGAATCTGCAAATTGGTCTTTGCCGGATTAAGATTAGTTATACAACTACTAGTTTTGATGATCAATTAAACACAGATAGACGCTTCTTGTTGATTTGCGATTTGATGTGTATATATTGTATGGCTATATCATGCTTGCATAGGCCACTGCTGTTATGTCATCGTTGGTGAACATGGTTCCTCAAAGAGCAGTATTAGCCAAAACTGGAGAAGAAGTTGATGTTGCTGAAGTCAAGGCGGACACAATTCTAGCTATTAAGGCAGGTGACATTATACCCATAGATGGTATTGTTGTAGAAGGGACATGAGAAAACTTTAATGGGCGAATCATTCCCAGTGGCCAAACAAAAGGAATCCACTGTTTGGGCTGGCACAATCAATTTGAATGGTATAACTTCCCTCTTGACTGTGTTTTGGTTTTTAGGGTGTAAGAAATTTCTGCTAACAGGTTTTAATCCTCGCTTTAGGTTATGTTAGTGTTGAAACCACAGCTCAAGCTGAAGAGTGTGTGGTGGCTAGAATGGCAAAGCTAGCAGAAGATGCTCAAAACAACAAATCGAACACTCAAAGATACATACACAAATGCACCAAGTACTATACACCAGGTTAGTCTGTGTTAAATAAACATTGAGGTGCCTATCATTTTCTTTATCAACAAATTTAGAAATGCTAATTTTCCTTTGGCCTGATGTTTTTACTATTTATGCTTTGCAGCCATTATGGCTATATCAGCTTCTTTGGCAGTTGTTCCTGCGGCACTAAAAGTTCACAATCGCAATGAATGGTATCACTTAGCCCTGGTTGTTCTAGTAAGTGCATGTCCATGGGCACTTATTCTCTCTACACCGGTTGCCACATTTTGTGCACTTTCAAAGGCAGCAACATCAGGTCTTCTGATCAAAGGAGCAGAGTATCTTGAAACTTTGGCTAAGATAAAAATCATGGCTTTTGACAAAACTGGGACAATAACTAAAGGAGAATTCATAGTGGAAGATTTTCAATCTTTCTTGGACAATGTTAGCATGAACACATTGCTTTACTCTTAAAGGTTACTTGTTTGCACAATTAGATTGCCACAAAGTAGGATGAGTTCAAAACTTATTCTGTTTTTTGTTTTGGGGTTGTAAAGGGTTGCAAGCATTGAGAGCAAATCAAGTCATCCAATGGCGGCTGCAATTATTGAACATGGACATTCACTTTCTGTCGAGCCAAAGCCTGACGGAGTCGAGGAATTTCAAAATTTTCCTGGAGAAGGCATTTATGGGAAAATTGATGGGAACGATATCCATGTTGGGAACCGGAAAATTGCCATGAGAGCAGGGTGTGCAACAGGTGAAAATCTTCACTTCTTATACATTCAAAATCATCTTCTAAAATCATGACTTCCAAATCAATAGTGGTATCCCCGGTTCTAATCTTAGTTTTCAGGAAAAGTTGTACTCCAATATTTGCATTTCTTTTCGCATGTGCTATATGTTGAGCATTATTTCTTCTTTCTTTGTTCTAATCATTTAAATCTTCGAACTTCCAGTTCCAATCTTAGAAGGTGGTGCTACAGAAGGAAAGTCTGTTGGATACATATTCTTGAATTCTCTTCCTGCTGGAATTTTCAGCCTCTCTGATGTTTGTCGAACTGGGGTCCAAGAGACGATCAAAGAATTGAAAATAATGGGCATTAAAACAGCTATGCTTACAGGAGATTGTCATGCAGCAGCTAGGCATGCACAAGATCAGGTGATTCATATAGCCTTTAATTTTTATAGTTCACTTGTCATTCATGTGCAATGGGTCAATCTTAAATACTTTGTAAGCAGTTGATATTGATTGAACACAAGTCCATGCCACCCCTATCCTTGGACTGGATCTTTGTTCAGGCTATAATTTGATACGGTTAAATTAAGCTCAGCATGTGAAACCAAAAGAACTATTATCTATGGTTCTCATGTCAAATGACATTCAGAAGATACCAAAGGCAGTCCGACTTGCAAGAAGAACCTGCCAAAAAGTGATCGAGAATTTGATTTTATCAGTTACTACTAAGGCTGCCATACTGGCATTGGCCATTGCAGGTCACCCCATAGTTTGGGCGGCAGTTCTGGCTAATGTTGGGTCATGCTTGCTAGTGATCTTAAACAGCATGCTACTTTTACGAGGAGCACCGCAATATTCAAAAAAATGCTGCAAATCCTCTGCTGTGCTGCATGACCACAAACATGGAAGCGAAACTGATGGTGGCCACTGCTCCCACACCAAACAACATTGTTCTGATATTGAAGCTCAAAAGATGTATGAGCCTCAAAGCTGCTCTTCCAAGATGTGTGCATCAAGGTGTCATTCTGTCCCTTCCAGTTCAAGATCATGCGTGTTGATAAGAGCTCAGACATAGCTATTAAGCATTGTCATTGTTCATATAATATTGAGCTACAAGTGGCAAAACACAGGGATCATGGAAAACGTGACATGTTCACTGAGGATATAGAATTAGGCAGTGTACACAACCATGCTTGCTTGGGCCATTCGAGCTGTTGTGGGGAGGATGAAGACGTAATAAAAGTTGAAAATCATGGTGGTTGTGTAGCAGGTGATATGATCCACGAGGCAAAACATTGCGAGCACAAGGACCATAGCATGATCAATCACAATATGGAAATGTACAGTGTTCACAACCACTTGGATTGTTCAATCAGTTCGGAAGAACTAGACCCAGACTTGCCTACCAATAAGCATTGCCACAAGAACATTTGCATGAAAAACTGCTTAGAAAACCGCATCAGCGATGAATCATTAAGCAACATGGTCAAAAGTTGTAGCAAGAATTGCCCACCAAATGGGGAGGATCATTCTGAGTGCAAAAAGCATGCTACAGAAGGTGGTAAGCTTCGCAAAAACTTGTGTTCAACTACTAACCATGTGGAATGTACAACTGTTAAGGCTTGTATGAGTTTGGAGAATAGACGATTTGGTGCATGTTGTGAGAGCTTTAGGAAGGGGTGTTGTGACAAAAATGGACATTTTGGTGCTAGTTTCAAAGGAGGTTTGTCAGAAATTATCATCGAATAGGTTTACTTAAAAGGATATTCAACTTCTTTTCCTTATAATTCGTTTGGGAAATTTTGTAGATATTTTCAAAGGTACTTGTATTATGAAGGAAATGATGAGATTGGCAATGTATTAAAAATTTCTGATTTCCAATTGTATCTTACAAAATATGGATTCCCTGTTCATTCAAATGTAATTCAGTACATACCTCTTTAACATTATAGACAAATATTAGGTTTGACTACCACCATTTGATTAGTCTGAGTGGTAGTTCACCTCTGAGCAATGACGTTAGGGGTTCAAGTCTCGTGGATCATAACAAGTGAATGATAGGACCTTCATTATAAGGTATCAACATGGCATGTGATGCAATGTGTGCAGCTTGTTACAAGTAAAGGACTACATACCCAATCTACTTGTTACAAGTAAAGTTTCTTCATGACGATGCTATTTCTTGATGGGTTCAGGAAGAACTGATGAAAGCTAAATTGGAGGCCAGATATATAGCTAAAGAACTAACAGGGGTAACCTATCACACTCCACTTCCATTTTTTTATGACAGAAAAGACAGTTGCTCCTCGGTTAATATTTCTTTTAGATGGGGAGGCCTAGCTATGGGTTCACGTCAAGAACCAGAAGTGGTAGTTGGGTTAATGCCGCTACTCATCGGCATTCAAATAATTTTCTTCAACTGAATGACATGTTTGGCTGACCTCTTCATTTCTTGTTCCCATCTTCCCTACCTACCCATGTTCTTGAACCCCAAAGAAAATAATTACAGAGAGAACAAAAGTGTAGGAAAAGAAAGATAAATTGTGATTCTGTTAATGTTGCAGCATTCCGCATGGAAACAATTCCTTAACTATGTATTTTTGCAGTTTTGACAAATTAGCTTTGGTTCAGGAAGCATGGCTTCCAGCTTGGCTTGCAGTCCATTTAGTTCATTGTCAGGTAAATTTTTATCCTCTGCATTGACAATATAGAGGCAGGTCTACTTTTCTTGACTGTTTGTCATCACTTGCAGTCCTTCATAGTGCCCAATGGAATGTGCGTAGGAGACCAGCTTTGGATGTGACGATTGAAAAGGTCTTACTTTTCTTTTTTGACAGAGCTACCATTTTATTGATTAACATTTAACCCTTGAACAACCATGCTATGTCCCTGCAGAGATCCTTCTTTTTTTTTTTTTTGGTCAGCACTGCAGAGATCCTTCACACATTTAACATTGGTCGACTCTTCTTCAATTTAACTGTTCTTCAGGCATTGGAAAAAAAAAAAAAAGCTCAAGTTGAGAGGTGGTTGGAGCCTCACGTTGATACATTCACAACAGTAGGTTACTCCTATAATCCTGTATATTGTGCTTTAGAGTAGTTTTTGTGTTTCTTAATGTTCCATGATTTTAGATGCTACTGGTTGACTTGGTTCTAGGAGCTTCCTTATTCATCTAAGGCATTGTTGTCATAACTGTTGTTAAACTACCATCTATTCCAAAAGGTTAAGCTGTTAAAGAGGGTATAACTTAAGTAATTGTACTTCAACATGCTCCTCACGTGCAGGCTAGATTTGGGCCGAACACGTGAAAATCTTTTAATAATTTGGATGGCGACGAGATTCGAATATAGAACTTCCAGCTCTGATAATATATTAAACAATTATCTACTCCAAAAGTTTAAATTGTTGGAGTGAATGTAACTTAAGTTTTTATACTTCAACAACTGCAAACCATTTGCTTTCATCCTTGCCATAACTGTATTCTTTTACTTGTGCTTGAAATAAAATAATCTCAGTGCTTAGTTCGTCCAGTTAATTGAGTTGGAGGAATAATTTGTCTCCAAAATATTCTCTTCCTTTTTTAAATGTATATGTAAGTTAATATTATAATGGGATGATTTTCTGATTTGTTGTTCTGTTGTTTTGAAGAAATGGATCCCAATCATCAAGGAACAATGGTTCGCCTTTCTAACTAACATAGGGCCGTGTGTGGAATCTCTTATTGTTAAAACCATCGACATTTACCATAAGTCCAAGAAATCTATTGGTTCTCATGTTGTCAAAGTACAAAATATGATAGAGCCACACATTCAGGTATATCACCGTATGTTCAATCAAATTCATGTCAGATCTTGTGGCTTATAATTCCTCTGCTTATACGAGGGACCTACATTTAGTTATCAGTGAAAAAAGTATACAAACTAAATGTAGAGTCTCCGTATATATAGCCAATGAAAGTTATAATAAAGACAAAAAAATAAAAAGAGAAAAACTTAATAAACTAAACTGCTGCTATATCTCCAACACTCCCCCTCAAGTTAGGCGCAAAAATGTCAACTAAGTCAAATTTGACAATGGAGTCCCGAAAAATGGATCGAGTGACAGGTTTGGTAAAAACAGCCGCAACCTGATCATTGGTCCCCACAAACAATGAAGTGACAATACCACTGCTAACCTTCTCTCGAAAAAAGTAAATATCGATCTCTATATACTTTGTCCTCTCATATAATACAGAGTCAGAAACAAGTTGAATAGAAGATCGATTATCACAATATAATGTAAATGAAGAAGTCACTGGAAATCCCAACTTGCCAAGAATCGATCGTAGCCAGATAATCTCATATGTGCCAAGTGCCAGTGTCCGATACTCTGCCTCTGCTGACAAGCGAGAGACAACTGATTGCTTCTTGCTCTTCCAAGAGATAAGATGAGTCATTCGAAAAGTACAGAAGTCTGTAGTAGATTGACCGTCACATGTTCCCCCATAATCTAAAACTGAATAACAGGCTAGAAAACTAGTCTGAGATCCTGATGCATAGAACAACTCAAGTCTAGAACAAGACTTGAGGTACCGAAGAATATGATAAACTGCATCAAGATGAGGTTGACAATGGTCTGTGCATGAACTGACTAATTTGGCTGACAACAAATGAAATGTCTGGCCTAGTGTTGTTTAGGGAGATAAGTCTACCTACCAACCTCTGATAAATAGTTGGATCTCTCAACTCTTCACCTTTAGCAGTAAGCTTCAGGTTTGGAATCATAGGTGATGATGCCGGTTTGCACCCCAGCATCCTAGCGTTCGAGAGAAGATCCAGAACATACTTTTTCTGAGAAAGAATAATACCTTTGCGGCTATGGGCAACCTCAATTCTAAGAAAGTATCGTAAAAATTCAAAGTCCTTCACATCGAAAGCCTTCCCAAGGTCTACCTTGACCTGCGCAGTCCCAAAAATATCATCTCCAGTAATAATAATATTATCAACATATACCAAAAGGATGACACACTGTCTAGAAGTATTCCGTCGAATGAATTAGATATGATCATAATGACATCTGGTGAACCCTAAACGTCAACTACATCACTAAAGTGAGAGAACCAGACTCGTGGTGACTGTTTCAGTCCATAAAGAGACTTACGCAGTCGACATACCTTTCTAGCATACTCCCCCTCACCTTGAAAGCCCGGTGGTGCATCCATATAAATAATCTCGTCCAGATCACAGTGAAGAAATGCATTCTTCACATCCAACTGATGAAGAGGCCAAGAGTACTCTGCAGCCAGAGAAATAATCAGTCGAACAGTAGTCAATTTTGCCACGGGGCTAAAGGTAGCAACAAAATCACGACCTGGTACCTTAGTAAAGCCTTTCGCCACAAGCCTAGTCTTATGATGATCAATAATACCATTCGCAAGAAACTTCAGGGTGTAAACCTAGTGACAGCCAACAGGCTTCACCTCTGAAGGTAAACAGACAAGATCCCACGTATGATTACTTTGAAGAGTGTCCATCTCTGTCTGCATGGCAAGAACTCACTAGGGCTCCCGCATAGTCTCTGAAATAGAGCGAGGAACTGGTTTATCTGATAATACCATATTATAAGCCCGAAATGTAGCAGACAGATCACCATAAGAAACATAAGCAGAGATCGGGTATAAAATCTTGACGGTTCAACCATAACGAACAACTGGATGACGATCACGCTACGGATAACGACGCCCTAAATCATCATTCTCCACTGATAATGTCTCTTAAGATAAAACAATTGGCTCAGTACATGCAATCTCATTAGTACTAACAACGGGTGCATCAATATGCTCAACGAACTGAAAAGTATTACCTACATCGCCTGAGATAGAGGGGATATCAGCAGGGGGACGAGAGTGAGGACGACGAACATAAACCTGCAAAGGAAGAGAGACTGGTGACTCTGTACTAATAGAGATGAGTGGCTCTAGAAGAGGAGAGACCAATGACTCTGTAGTGATAGTGACCAATGGCTCTAGCTCCGGGGGTAATGGAAAATCAAAGGGAGTATCATCAACTGGAGGGGCAGACATAGGACTGGAAAAAAAAATAAGGAATATGCTCAACAAAGGTAACATCTAGACTATGATACATACGACGCCTAATAGGATCATAACACTGATACCCCTTAGACTGATGACAATAGTCCACAAAGACACAACGAATTGCTTCATCATCAAGCTTATGACGAGTAGGAGACCGATCCTGAACAAAACATGTGCATCCAAAAACACGAGGGGGGACCGGAAAAAGTGTCCGCT